GCCAAAAACCCCTATATTTATGTCTGAGAGGATTCTAAAAACATGCCAACAACTTGTTTTGCGTTTGACTCCAACCTTGGACCAACTTACACTTGCTCATTCAAAAGCAGAAATCAGAAAAGGCATAATTACTCTGTAACAGCTTTGACATGAGTTCTAACTTTGCGTGAGAAAAATCATTACACAGTTAATAAAATTGATTAGTTCACTGCAACATCTAAAATGGTTTGAACTAAGACACTTTGATTATCAACATTTGTAAAATAGTAATGATAATAAAAAGAGAGTGTTCTTTTCACTTGAATCTTCAAGAGAGAAAGTCTCAGGATGGGTGAACCTGTATTTCTGGATTCAAATCAATGAAATGACAGTTCCTGTCCCACAAGGTTCTTAAGGTCAAGATTTTTGACCTTAGACTTAGTTTTTGACATGGGCCTAGTCCACTACAATGGCCAAGAATAACATCTATGAGAATCCAAGAGTCCTGAAATGATGACACAAGTTTATTCAGCTGGTTTCATCTGGTTATCAGTTGGAAATTCCTCAGGGAGGGGGTGGTGAGCGTCAGATCTCGGGCTGCAACTAATGAATATTTCAATAATCGATTCATTGGCCAATTATTTTTTCGAATAATCGATGAATTGGCAAAAAAACACATTTTTATTTCCACCCCTTTATTCCAAAATTGAACATTTGACTGACATAGCAATTCGCACAAAAAAACAGGTTGCTATTTGACTATTCTGTTAGTAAAATATTTAATAATAAAAAATAAAAGTTAGTCAAATAGCTTAAAAAATAAATGTACACAAAAATATATACAAATGTGTCTTTATACCTGCACAATATGTAGCTACTTTGTAAAATGTGTCATTGAGGGAAGAGTGTAACCTGGATTAAAAGTGTGGTTTATTGTAACCTGGATTAAAAATGTGGTTTATTGTAACCTGGATTAAAAGTGTGGATTATTGTAATCTGGATTAAAAGTGTGGATTATTGCAACCTGGATTAAAAGTGTGGATTATTGTAATCTGGATTAAAAGTGTGGATTATTGTAGTGAAGCCTTCGTCTTCAACCATGGACAGAGGCCTCATGTCAGTGATGATCATGTTCAGGATGTTTCAGTGAAGACAGCTGCTGCTGTGGTGTCCATGATGTCTGTCCATCATGAAGGATGTTGTTGTTGTTGTTGTTGTTGTTGTTGTTGTTGTTGTTGTTGTTGTTGTTGTTGTTGTTTTCTGGAATGAGACAGTAAATATGTATTATATCATAATTTACAGCAACTCTAGAAATGCCTTGTTTCACTTACAGTGTTAGGTTCAGGCAAAAGTAGCTAAAAGAGCAATTAAACACACACACACACACACACACACACACATACACACACACATATATATATATAAAAAATACTTAATTACACACATTTGAGTAGATGTAATAAATTACTTTAATTCCTGTTTAAATGCAATTCATCCTGCCATACCTGCAGTGTCTTCAGACTTTGCCAGCAAATTAAAAGTTGAAGCTTAATCATTAAATTATTATCTTTGTGTTAGATTTATTTATAAAATCACATTTAAACACTGCTTGTTCCAATTAAATTAAATAAAAAGTAACACACACGTTCTCTATCACCGTCATTAATCAGACAAACAAACAAACAGCAGCTTCATCTTCAGACAGACTGACGTTACGTTTTGTCTCTTGAAACAGAACAAAGTGTTAAATTGTAGAGACTCACCTGCAACACATGAAGAGTTGTATCAGCTGCAGCTCCTTCCTCCTCCTCGTCACTCCCACATGTTTACGTTTATCTCCGTGGTTCTCTCGTGTCGTGTCGTCACTTTTCAAAGCTGCGTGTTTCAGTTTTTATCTTTGTGAAGAGCTCCCACTCTTTGGAGGACTTGGGTCGAACAGTTTTTGCTGCGTTGCTCATTTGTAAAATTTACTTAATTTCCTTTGAAAACAGCCTCTGCTCTGTTTCTGTCTCCCCCCTCGCTCTGTTCATCTCACGCTGCAGAGGTTTTTTTATTTATTTATGTTTTTACTTTATTCAGTCAGTCAGCATTGACAATGAACTGCAGGTGAACAAAACGGCTCCGCAGTGCCGTGAGACACGCTTAATAACGCAGTACAACAAATCGATCATGAAATTCGTTGCCAACACTTTTAATCATCGATTTTTATTGATTTTATCGATTTGTTGTTGCAGCCCTAGTCAGATCACATGTTCTCCAGGTGAATTCAGATAAGATGACCTTCAAGGTCAGCCAAGGAAGCCAAATTCAGATAAACACACAGTTGTTTTGGGGACAGGCAGAACTTAATGACATCAACCTTGAGTCTGTGTTGGTCCACTCGGTTCCGAAATGTCCAAATCACATGGCCACACCTGTAGTGTGTCAAGGTCAGCTTTGCTGTACCTTCACTACTAATTATTTAAATATAACGGGTTCTTTCTTTTTCGAGTTAAATTAATGCCATGTGACGAGGTAACTGTGAGGATTGTTTAATCAGTGACAAGAGACGTTAAGTTTCCTTTGACCCATCAGAATAAATGTGGTCATTTATTTAACAGAATCAAAATTTAACATCAAAGCATGTACACATGATTAGCTGATCTGGTTCTGATTAATAAAACTTGGCACGCTTTACTAATATGACAACAAGACATTTATGAAGGCATCTAGATTACTGGCAAAATAGAAGAGTTGAAAGGAAGGATGGGTGAAGAGAAAAGATGGGTGAAAGGAGGTGTCTGTTTGGACCAGGATGGCACGCTTCTTCCAACACCAGCTCAAACCTCCGGTACACTTAGCGCGTCACGACTCGTTACCTTTGCTGGAGATAACTCAGCTCCGGTGTCGGGTCCATTTCAACGCTACCTTCCAGCGTCTCCGGTAAGAGCGGCTGGCCATCGTCAGAAGTCGTGTTGATTTACTCCTTTCAACAAACAGGCTCAGCTCCCTTCAAAGTTGGAGGCATTATACCCGGGTGGATTCACAGCAAGCATCGGTGAGTCCGTCAGAGATCCCACTCAGGAGTGGAAGACTCCACAAGGCTTGAGAAGACTCCATCAAAGACTGAGTTCAACTCAGATCCAAGACTCTAGAAGACGGGCTAGACTCCAGAAGACCCAGTAGACTGAGTAGTTCCAGGAAGTGTGGACTTTTAAAGAGTTCTCACTTCCGGTCACTCAGGACTTCCTGATTGGTTGAAACAACCAAAAGGGGGTGTGTTTCAGTGATGTCAGAGGGTTATTAAAAGTCAAAAAGATAGCAAGAATGTTTAGGAACGTTTAGTACAGACAGAGAAATGTTTTTAAGGAGTGAGAGGAAGCAGGTGCCAGTTACTTCTTTTTTGCCGTCTCCTAGGTTTAAAAACAATACAGCCTGTTCTAATAACTTCTTTCTGACTGTCTCTGACTTTTGACCGACATCACTACTTCTCCTTTAGACAGAAAATCAAAATGCATATTTACTTTGTAAATAGACATTTAACTTGATTTCTAATTTAAATTAGGATTAAAAATCATTAATACTGTTTCACAGTTGATTTAAAATGAGTGGTTCACTTCAACATTTAAAAATGGTATGAACTAAACACACTTTTGATTATCAAGACATTGTAAAATAGTAATGATAATAAAAAGAAGAGTTTTCTTTCAATTGATTAATTCAGGATACAATTAGAAAGTCTCTGGATGAGCTAATTTGTATTTCTGGATTCAAATCAATGAAATAACAGTTCCTGTCCCATGAAGGTCTTCAGAGGCAGGTTGAGGTCGGAGGCCTAGTTCACTACACAAAGATGGAACATGACTGAGTAAAATCCACAATATCTGATCCATTCTGCCCAAAGCATTTGAGTCTGGGTACTCGAGACACGAACCAAAGCATCATAAAGGCCATCAGTGTGATCAGGTCCATATTTGCTGCTGACGACTTCCTTGACTTCTGCTACTCTTCCATGTCAAGAGGAGCCAGTTGAGGTGGTTCGGGCATCTGGTAAGGATGCCCCCTGTGCGCCTCCCTAGAGAGGTGCTTCTGGCATGTCCCACTGGGAGGAGACCCCGGGGAAGACCCAGGACACGCTGGAGAGACTATGTCTCTTGGTTGGCCTTGGAATCCTCCCAGATGAGCTGGAAGAGGTGGCTGTGGAAAGAGATGTCTGGGTCTCCCTGCTTAAGCCACTGCCCCCGTGACCTGACTTCGGAATAAGCAGAAGATAATGGATGGATGAATGGACTTCCTTTATTGTAGATAAAACCAACAACCAGCCAAATCCAAAAAGCAGGAACAAGTTATCGAAAATCCAATTAAATATGCGTCCTTAAAATCCACAAATGGCAGCAGAGATAGACACATCATCAAGTCTTCAAGTCGATGAGATATCCAGCTGCGTGCCAACAGGACAAACTGGCTCGCCTAAAGCCTGTGTTCTCTTCAAAGAAATGTTGTAAATTGAGTTGAGGGACCAACTGATCAAAACAAGTCCATAATTGAGCAGGAAGTTGAGGTGGTTCATCTTGGGCATCTCCCTAGGAAGGTGCTTTGGGCATGTCGGACTGGGAGGAGACCCCGGGAGAGCCCAGGGAAGACCCAGGACACACTGGGGAGACTATATATCTCTCAGTTGGTCAGTGAACACCTTGGAATCCTCCGACAGGAACTGAAAGAGGTGGCTGTGGAAAGAGATGTCTGGACATTCCTGCTCAAGATGCTGCCCCTGAGACCTGAGTCCAGAACAAGATGATGGATGGATGCATGGTTGGATTACTGGATGGATGATGGATGAATTGATTGATGGTGGGTGGATGGATGGATGTATGTATGCAAGGTTGTATGTATGTATGTATGGATGGATGGATGCATGGATGTATGGGTGGATGGATGCATGGATGGCTGGATGGATGGCTGCATGCATGGATGCATGGATGGATGATGGATGGATGGATGGATGGATATTTTCTTATTGTTTTTTTATTCTTGTGTTTCAGTTTGAAGTCTCTGGAGTTCTGGTTTAACCACGTCTACACTCATGAAGGTAGGATGATGATGATCCATTGCTTTAAAGTCTCGACACGTTCGATCCCTTCTGTGACTTCATATTTTTGTGTTGCAGACATCGTAGCTGCACACTACAACCCGTGGGGTTTCCTCCCCATCTCACAGGCAGTGTGTAAGCCCCTCTTGGAGGAGCTGCTCCTCCTGCTTCAGCCCCTGTCTCTCCTGCCCTTTGACCTTGACCTACTGTTTGAGCCTCACCTCCTCCAGAAGGGTGAGGAGCAGCTGCGTTGCAAGGAGCAGCTGTGCTCTGTAGGACAGAGCACCAACCGGTCGAGCCGCTCCACCTTCCAGCTCATGAGAGGATGGAGAGCCATCGTCAGCGACCGGGTCAGTGACTCGGAGGTGAATATGGAGAGGGCGGGGCTGAGGCAGGAGAGGGCGTGGCCGAGAGCAGAGATTGGAGGAGGAGGGATGACTCACCTGTGGAAGGAGAGAGCAATGGAGGGGCTGAGGATGAAAGGTATCGGGCAGGAGAGTCAGAAGCAAGGAGCAGAGCTCAAGGTGCGTCAGAGGGAGGACCGACAGGCTGGCTGGTGGTACCAGCTCAGGCAGTCCTCCCAGGTCTACATTGGCCAGTCCACTGAGGGGTCAAAGTTCATTAAGACCGAGAAAAGGAAGAAGTCCTCAGAGAGACAACAGAACCTCCCACCGCCCACCAGAGAAGGAGTGGTGGAAGGAGCCGAGTCCAATCATAGAGGGGACGGTGGAACAAGCAGCTCTGGATCCAGAGGAAGGCCTTCATGGATGGGAAGCCCCCCAGAGTTGGTCCTGAACCAGGAGAAATGCTCAACACCCCTACTCCAGGTTCTGGGGACTGGAGTCCAGTCAGCAGCCCAGGAGGAGCACCCCCCACATGGACAGAGTTTACGCTGGAGCCGGCTCTTTGGGTCGACTGTTGGGTCTCCTCTGAGAGTGGACACGACAGAACCCAGAGCAAGAACCCAGAAGACCAGGTCAGACTAATCTGGCTCTTTAACAAAACAAATAGCCAAAAGATCCTATTATAGATTATTTGAATACATGTTACCATGTAGCTAAAATTATTAAAAGATGAGGAACATGTAGCAAAAGGCTAGCTAAAAGCTAAAAGTAGCTTCAGAAGATAAAATCAAAGCGAGTATGCTGAAAGTTCTATGTCATATAAGCTTCGCCCTTTAAGGCCTTCGCTTTAGTGGGTTTATCCCGTTATGCAGAGCATAAGCACTGAAAAAAATTAGTCCACGCCCACCTGCTGTGTGGGCCCCACCCGGTCCGTATAAATTACGTTAAGAGCGGGAAATCGGCTCCCATTTTTTCTTCAGCGAGCTAATATAGCACTGTCAGAAGAATAAAGAAGATAAATTGTGTAAATGACCAACCTTGCGAAAGATGCTTGGCCCGGCAGTCGACCTCCGGTCGTCCGGTGAGTTCTCCTCCCCGAGGAGAAGATGACAGCAGTCTTATTCCAAGGTAAGCGTCGGGGAACATTTCCCAATGACAGGTCACTACACGCTGGACAACGCCATCTTGTGTTTTTTCCTCTTATCGCCGACCCTCGGGGCGAACCGGATGGTTCCTCCGGGGCAAGGCGTGCTCAGCTGCAGCCCCCGCTGCTCTTTCCCTCCTGGGGAGCGTAGTGTAGGTGGGGGGGGGGGCTGAGTGAATGCTCACCCCATCCCACCCCGTTTCGCATCGGCGATCACACCGCTCCCGGCCGACGGCGCCCTCAGGGGTTGCCCGGCGGAACCCAGGAGGAGGCTGACATGAAGGGACCCCTTTTTTCTACGTCCCTCGCCTTTTCCCGCCAGTTCGGATGATCGGCGGAAAGGTCATTTTTCACTGGGCTCCACTGTGGCTCACCGTCTTGATCCATACGGCCTCGCGTTCCAACAGGACGTTCCACGGGCGAGGCCGCAGACGGTTCTTTCCTGGTAGATTAGAGGAGTCGGTCCCCAGTCCGCTCCCATCACCAGAGTTGAGGGACTCACCGAGCGGGGCTATTCCTCGGTACCCCCCCCTGGAGCCAAACCTCGCGGAAGCTTCCGGAGCGAAGCTGCCCAGGTCGGAGCAGCGTCCCGTCCCTCCGGAGGAACCAGACGGCGACCACGCTCTCCAATCGAGCCCACCGACGTGTTTTTCAGGCAGCCGCAGTTAGCAACAACTCGCGCTGCTAGCATTAGCATGTCCAAGGGATTGAAGGCCGCAGACCTGCCTTGGAGACGAAGATCTCCCTCTGTAAAGCAGCTGACGCCAGCTCAACATGTGTGCCTCTCCCACGGTTTGCCTGTCGAGGACTGCAGCGCGGAGGACGACGATCCAACGACCCACCTGGCTTCGTTACTCCCCTCGCTGCCGGAGAATCTGCACAAGACCTGATGAAACCCATCGCGGACGCGCTGTTCAGAGCAGCTTCAAACCATGCTGGCGAAGTGAAACAGTCGGAGGAGGTGCCAGAGGCTGTGCGCCACCTCATCAAGCCGCGCGGCCCACCCCGTCCCCGCTGGAGGGACCGTCGCGAGCAAGCTTCGACTTTTCCACGGCCGCGGCTCTCGCTGAGTTCCACCACCAGCCCCGCCCGTCAGAATCCAGCCCTCTTCACTCCGGCAGCCTGCAGCTCAGCGTTTTCCCCAGAGTTCGCCTGCAGACGGCGCTCGGGTCAAACAAACCGCAGAGCTCACGAGGGAGAAGGTTTAAGAAATGACGGTCTGCGGGGGATGTGTGTATGAACGAAACAGAAAGTGAAATAAATGATTTTTTCAAAAATCAGAATGCCTGTTTTTAGCCAGTCTGTAAGTTCGGATGAGCTCACAGCCGCTACACACACATCCTCCACACAGAGAGAGCCGGTGGCATTAAATAAAGGTTTTTTAAACCCACCGCCGCTCCTTCACATGCCCAGACGCTCACGTGACACCACGGTAAGCGAAATATTTTGTTGTCAAACAGAACCGCACGATCACCACTCAAACGGTGTTAAACGCGCACCCGAGCGAGACAAGCAGCGTCCATCCAACGGCACTGTGCCGATGATGCACGCACAGCTGCCCGGCGCTCACCGGCTCACATCGGGATAAATGTGGGACCGCAGGCCGGGTCCGGTGGAGGTCCCCGCTCTCAGCAAAACAACACACGTTTTTCCTGAATAAACGCGAACAGCCGTCATCCATCGCGCCTCTGCGATCAGCAGCTCACGGCGACATAAGCGTGAGACAGCTGACTGAATCCAATGACGGGCCCCGCCCTCAGCGAGAGCGGCGCGCGTCCCTCCAGAGGAAACGTGCGCTCCCGCGAAGTTCACAACCTTCACTTCGACAGCACGGCGTTGATGACGTCACGCCCTCCACCTCTCAACGTTCGCACAGCGACGTTAAACGTGCAGCCTCTGGACGTCACCAGCGGACACACGCCTCGCCTCAGCGCACACCGCCCCGCCCGGACATGAAGGTTGGTCCGCGATCCAGTCACAGCGCACGGGCGCGCGCAGTTCAGCCCTTTCGAGAAGCCTCGCCTTGGGTCACGCGGAAAACATTTCCGCGACGCATGACGGCGGTCGAGGCGGAGGTTTGGATGACATCCGTTCAAAACACGGCACATCATTTAAACGCACGTCCACTCCACGAACGTCACGCAGAGTGGTTAAAAACATGCTCACCGGACAGATGGATGGACAGAGTGTTATGCAAGGGTTACACGCTGCAGTTTGCAACCCGACCCCCTCCGTTCGGAGGAGTTATAGAGATGGTCCTGTCATCACCAGACCAAGTCTCAGCCTTAAATGCAGAAGTCCAGGAGCTTCTGATAAAAGGTGTAATCTCAAGAGTTCCCAACGAGGAGGAAAACACAGGGTCTTACTCACGCTACTTCCTGGTCCCCAAAAGACCGGAGGGATGAGACCGATTCTGGATCTGTCAGCTTTCAACAAAGCGATCATGAACAGACCTTTTCACATGTTGATGAACAGACAGCTGTTGGACAACATCCAGGAAAACGACTGGTTTGTCTCCATCGTTTTAAAAGATGCCTATTTTTCACACACCAATCATCCCAAAACACAGAAAATTTCTGCGTTTCGCCTTTTCAAGGGATGAAGTACCAGTACAACAGGCTGCCTTTTTGGGTACTCCCTCGCGCCTCGTACGTTCTCAAAGTGTGTGGAGACAGCCCTGCATCCACTGCACAAGCAGGGATGAGAGTTTTGTTTTACCTGGACGACCTGTTGCCCCTGTCTCACTCCAGACAGGAAGCATTGATACAGGCTCAGGTGTTAGCATCACACCTGCTAAATCTGGGCTTCGCCATAACTGGAAGAAGAGCTCGATTTTCCCGGCCCAGATAATTGTTATCTGGGAGTGGAATTAAATTCAATTACCATGACGGCTCGTTTATCACAAACAAGAATCGACACTCTAAAAACCATTTACGCCACGTAAGACCTGGCAAAGTGGTAACAGCTGCCTCCGTCATGAAGCTGCTGGGAATGACGTCATCAGCTCACACAGTGGTCCCGCTGGGTTTGTTACACATGAGACGCCTCCAGAGGTGGTTTACGCGTCTGCGTGTGGATCCAGTAAAACAAAAGAGACGGATGATCACTGTCCCTCCCTCCATGGGAGCAGACCTCCGACACTGGGGAAACACCCTGGCTCTGTCAGAGGGAGTCCCCGTCAGCAGACCCACGTCACGTGTCAGTCTTCACGGACGCGTCTCTGTCAGGTTGGGGGGGGGACATGCCTATCTCAAGCAGTAGGGGCGCTGTGGCCCCACCGCACATCAGCCCACATCAATGTTTTTGGAGTGTCGCACAGTGCTGAATGTGATTCAACATTTTGCTCCCGTGCTACAGAATCAACACGTGTTGATTCACACAGACAACATGGTGACTGCTGCGTACATAAACCGCCAGGGGGGTGTGCGTTCAGCCCAGATGTTACACATTGCGCGGAAGCTACTGAGTTGGGTTCATCAAACCTGCTTTTATTGAGCGGTTTACATATCCGGTGTTCTGATGTGACGTCCAAGGGCGGCCCACGTTACGTGGACCGGATCCTCCATCCGGATCTGATGTTTTCAGACGCAGCAGAAGTTGGCAAAGCAGCTGTGGACCTGTTTGCGATGCGAGAAGAACGCTCAATGTCAACTACGGTTTTCCCTGAGCCCGCGAGACGATCCATCGCTGGGGGGGGACGCATTTGCTTACAGTCGGTGGCCCAAAACGCTTTTTACGCGTTTCTTTCCCCCCCACCTCCTCTGTTTTTTACGGTCCATGAACCGAGTTCAGGAGGAGGGATTGACAGCTCTCCTGGTGGCTCCCGGCGTGTGAACGCACTATGGTTCCCAGGCCTGCAACGTCTGTTGTTGGGTCGCCGTGGAACTGTCATGGGGGAAGGATGCTCTCCTTCAGGCAGGAGGAGCGACCAAGAGTTACCCAGAAATAGGTCAACACCGGTGGGTCTGACCGCTGAGCGGTTCCACTTAGAGGATGGGTCTCCCTCAGGAGATAGTGTGCACAATTCAAGATTCACGTGCTGCATCTACCACAGTTTTGTACACATCAAGGGGACGGCCTTTCAGCGCTGGTGCACAGAGAAGGTTTAGAGACCACTTCATGCCTTTAAGCGGCGTGTTGTTTTTCTACAACAGCTGATGGATAGGGAGTTGGCTTTCAGTACGCTTTAACGTACGATTGCAGCCATCTCTTCCTGCCACAAAGGGTTTGGAGACAGAACAGCTTTTATCACCCGCTGATGAAGCGGTTTCTAAAAGGTGTACAGAGATGTAGGCCTGTTTTCACGCCCACTTGTTTTCCACAGTGGGTTTAACGCTGGTCCTGCGAGCCCTGATCAAAGCTTCAATTGAGCCTCTGGATCAGGTTTCATTTAATTCTTGTCTCTTTTAACAGCCCTGTTGCTGGTTTTAACACCCGCTAAGAGGGTAAGTATTTATCTGCCCTCTCTGTTGCTTCGTCATGCCTTAGAATTAGGCTGACGGGCAGCTCAGCTGATTTAAGACCAACCCAGCTTTTATGCCTAAAACATCACGAGCTTTTTTAAATCAAGAGTGATATCGTTGGAGGGGTCTTTTTCCCCCCACAGATCAGAAGAGGAAACATCTCTTCATCTTCTCTGCCCGGTGCGGGCGTTGACGTGTTACATAACGCACACAGCTGCAATGCGTTTCAAACTCAACAATGGTTTGTGCATTATAGAGATGCTTCTGCAGGTCGTCGTTATCCATCCAGCGCTTGTCACACTGGCTGTGTGAGGCCTTTTCTGAAGCCTACAGAGCATCAGATTTAGAGCCTCCTGTCAACCTCTAAGCACACTCGACCAGGGGTATCGCATCTTCGACTGTTCTGCACAATGGTATGTCAATGCAGGTCATTTGCACTGCGGCTGCATGGTCAACACCCTGCTCATTTATTCGCTTTTACCTACGTGATGTAACGGCTCGTTCCATGACACATTCTGTCCTTAGTGCTCTAACAGAATGAATGTTATTGTTCTCATGGAACTCTGTTTAAGCTCACTTCTGTCTGCATGCATTACAGTGTGAGATGTTGTTATCAGTCACAAGTCGTGTCTATGATTTTGGTTCTATTGTCACTAATCAGTTCATGATTATTGTTACCAATCAGTTCAATTGATTTATAATCAGTTTATGGACATTAATCTGTTTATACTGTTCAGCCATGAACCAGTTGGTTCATGCCCGCCCCCCCCCTCTTTTCAACTTCTTCTTCCCGTTGAAAGTTTTCCGGGGTATTCATGCTTTGTCAGAACGCATAGTTACACAACATGCGTCTGTGCATGGCACATAATTACGCGATGCGTAGTTATGCACATGGGGAGCTGAGTGACAAGACGTTTTTTGGGCAAGCTTCCGTTTCTTACTGTGTTCGAATGGACCCAGTGAGGCGAGGACCACATCGGCTTCGCCCTTTTACCCACTAAAGCGAAGGCCTTAAAGGGCGAAGCTTATATGACATAGAACGTTGGTTACGTACTGTAACCCCAGATTCTATGAATATAAGCGTAGCCCTTTAAGCGTCGGGCCTCACTGGCTCCTAAATGGCTGAAGAAAAAGCTATTTTGGGAGCCGATTTCCCGCTCTTAACGTAATTTATACGGACCGGGTGGGGCCCACACAGCAGGTGGGCGTGGACTAATTTTTTTCAGTGCTTATGCTCTGCATAACGGGATAAACCCACTAAAGCGAAGGCCTTAAAGGGCTACGCTTATATTCATAGAATCTGGGGTTACAGTACGTAACCAACGATTTCCTCCTTGCGTCTCTTCAGGGCTCCGTCTGGTTGGTTGGCTTTGGACAGGTCTGTTATGGACCTGGTAGCTCTGGCCATCGGAGCGGGCAGCAGGAAGAAGGCGGAACATCCAGCTTCACCAACCACAGCGCCACCAGACCGCCCAACTGAAATCAAACAACTGTCTCAACGGTAAACAAATCGTTTCCCATCAGGACGTGTTGCACATTTATTCACATCAATTCGTCAAATTCAAACAGAAACGGATTAAAAATGAACATGCTGAGGTAGAAAGGAGAAAAAACACACTTTGACCCACTTAAAGATAATTATTTGCTAAGCTTTTACTTTTTTGGACCATTTTAATGCAGAGTTACAGAAAAATTCAAAATATATATTTTCTGTGAAAACATGGTGGGCATGCTGAGTGCTGAAGGACTGCTGAAGTTTGTTTAAAAAGTTAATCAAGGCAAAACATTAGCCAAAACCTTAAAGCACCAGCTAAAAACCTTTAGGTAGCAAAACACTAGATAAAAGCCAAAGTTAGCAAAATGCTTGCAAAATGTTGCAAAACGATACCTTAAAACTTAAAGAAGCAATTGGCTAGCTAATAAACTAAAAGTACAAAAGGGATAGATACTAGCTAAATGTACAATAGTAAAAGGCAAGGGTAAAAACTAAAAGCACCAAAACAGTGGCTAGAAGCAAAACATACAGAAACAAAAGGCTTATTTTTTTCATTTGACCTTTATTTAAACAGACAAGTCACATTGAGCCTCGAAGATTCATTTACAAGTGAGACCTGTTTGGACAGACAATAAAATGGTGAAAATCATGCACAGGGTTTGGAGACAAAAAAAAATTCCCAACATGCTTTAAACCTCTGTTTGTTTGCTGAGGACGACCAGAGACGAATCCCGAGTCTTGAAATGACGACATAAAAATTATTCAGCTGGGCTCCTCTGAAAAGTCCATGGAAACTCCTCAGTAGGAGGGGAGGGAGGGCCCTCGGTTTCAGAGGTCCGCAGGTCCAAACGGCGGCAGACCGGGTCCCGATTGTAACAGCACCCTGATTCGACAGCTGCAGTTCGGCTCCCTCGGTTTCCAGTGACTCGCGGTCCAAACGGTGGCAGAGCGGGTCTTTGCTGTGACAACCCCCAGGTCCTCTCACTCGATCCAACGGCTATAATATTGCTCCCCATATGTGAAGTAGGTTGACTGCAGGCACAGTTTCAAGAGTTGACACAGTGGTTCTGTGGAAAGTGTGGTCCTGCTGCTCAGAGTGGTGTCTGATTTTAATCTTAAACTGACCACCTCTACTGCATCATCAACAGGAATGCACGTAAAGAGTGATGTGACATCAAAAGAGACCATTGTTTCATCAGTCTCCATGATGACATCCCTCACCTTATCCACAAAGTCCATGGTGTTCTGTATGTGGTGTTCTGAGCTGCCAACTAAAGGGATGAGTACAGACGCCAGATATTTGGAAACATTGTAAGTGACAGAGTTAATCATGCTAACAATAGGTCTTAAAGGTACACCTTGTTTGTGGATTTTAGGTAAACCATACAGACTAGGTGTGGCCTCCCCTGGGTACAGTCTGTGGTACAGAAAACGGTCAATAGCCTTGTCCTGCTCCAAATTTTTAAGGCAATCTATTAACTTCTTCTTGTAACCACTTCCTGGATCTCTTTTCAGAGGTTCATAAGTGTTTAAGTCACTAAGGAGTGTCATAACTCTTTACGTGTCTATACGTGCATTCCTGTTGATGATGCAGTAGAGGTGGTCAGTTTAAAATTAAAATCAGACACCACTCTGAGCAGCAGGACCACACTTTCCACAGAACAACTGTGTCAACTCTTGAAACTGTGCCTGCAGTCAACCTACTTCACATATGGGGAGCAATATTATAGGCAGAAACATGGGTGTGCTATGGGGTCTCCAGTTTCTCCTATTGTTGCCAACCTGTACATGGAGGAGGTAGAAAAGAGAGCCTTGACGTCCTTTTCAGGGACACCACCAAGTCATTGGTTCAGGTATGTTGACGACACCTGGGTTAAAAT